CGGGCCGCCCCCCGGGCCCTCCGTCCTCTCCCCCGCTGGCGGGGCCCGGACAGAAGATGGTGCAGAAGAAGACCGCCGAACTTCAGGGATTCCACCGTTCGTTCAAGGTGAGGGCCGGGGTCGGTTTGGGGGGCGGGGGCGCTCCGGGCTGGACCACCGGACTGGGCGGTGAGAGGGGGGCGCGGAGCCCGTCCCCAGGATCAGTACCGGGAGCTCGTGCAGGGCGACCCAGCCGCGTGTGTGCTGATGGGGGGGGTCTGCAGGCTGCAGCCCTGTCCCTCCGCTGTGGCCCGTGGGTTCTTTCCGCCAGGGACCCCAAGCGGGGCTGGGAACCCTGTTCGTCGGGATCCCTAGCTGTGTGTCCCTTGCAGTCCCCTATCGGGTGTGTGCTGGTAGGGGCTATCAGCAGGCCACAGCCTTGTCCTCTGCTGTGCCTCTTGGGGTCTTTCCCCCAGGAACCCAATGCCTGTTGGAGTCCCTGTCTGTGTGTCCCTTGCAAGCCCCTGCCAGATGTGTGCGGGGAGGGGGCAGTCAGTAGGCCCTAGTCCTGTCCCCACCTCTGTATGGCCTGTGGGATCCTTTCTCTGGGAGTCCCAGACAGGGCTTCATGTTCCCTGCAAGCCCCAGCTGGCTTGTGGGGAGGGGTCAGCTGGGCACAGTCTCCTCCCCACCTCTGTGTGGCCTGTGAGGACCTTCCTCCAGGAACCCCAGGCTGGTCCGGTGTTCCTTGCACCCAGTCCCCGCAGGTGGCCTGTGAAATGGGGCAGTGGATTGAATGCCCCCCAGCCCTACTTCTCCCAGACACCCCAGGCCCAAGTGCCATTTCCTGTCGGAGCGGGAAGTTTCTGCAGCGGCCAGGCGGTGGCGGCTGCTGAGTCTTGGTCTCAGATGAGCGCATCTAGGGGTGGGGGTTGGGGAGGGCAGGTGCTGGGCAGGGGCCCCAGGGGGCCTGGCCCAGGGGACGCTGTGATGTCAGCGCCTGCCCGCCCCACCCCGCGGGCTGCGTTATGTAATGGCTTCCTTGGGCTTCCTTGGGCAGGGACCTGTTGCCCGGTAGAGAAGGCAGGACTTGAATATGCATGTGTGTGTGTATACGCGCGCACACCAGGGCGGGAGGAGCAGGCGGAGGCTGTTTGGGGAAGCATTCCCAGGCCTGTCCAGCCAGTGTCCCGTGCTGGCCGCCGCACCCCTGCCCCACACAGCGGTCAGCTTCCTTTCCCCCAGGGCAGTGGCGGCCTTGGCTGCTCAGTGTGTCCTGGTCTGGGCGGGAGAGGGGTGGACTTGAGACGTCACCCACAGTGGTCTTTCCCCTCCTGGGGCTGTATCAGCGCTCAGGGCCAAAGAGGCAGCCAAAGCAGACTCGAACTTTCTGGATGGTTCCAGCCACCTCCTGCCAAGCCTGCTGACTGACTGGAGGCCAGCAGCCAGACCCAGGGCGGGCTGGGCTAGAGCCGCCCACACTGCCCGGGACTGCGGGCTCCCCTCTGCAAGGCAGCCGGACAGCCCTGCCCAGAGTGGGACGGTGGAAGTCCCTGAGAGAGGAGGGAGGGCACTGGGTGGGGAGTCTCGATGATGAGCTGACCCTCCAGGTAGCCAGGGACCGGCCACTCCAGAGATCTCCTCCACCACCCCTGCTGCACCCTGCCGTACCCTTGGGTTGGGGCTGTCTGTCCCGTAATACCATCGGCACCCCCCAGTCTGGCAGCAACACAGCAAGGAGATGTATCCTCCAGCAGGTCGGGGCTCATTTTCCCCATTTAAAGATGAGAAAGTGAAGCCTCCGAGACAGGGGGCATGTGCTCAGGGTCCCCCTGCCCATAAGTGATGAGGACACAGACACTGCCTGTGCCTAGCACCCTGGCACCGGCAAATCTGTACCTTTATCGCACCGCCCCGTCTGTGCCAGGGCCCTGAGAGGCATGTGGAGACAGTGACCAGGTAAGGCCAGGGGCTCTAACTGGCCCCGGCAACCCCCTTGGGTCTTTTTACCCTTTTGAGGTCCCACAAGTTGGGGGCAGCCGCTTTCTGTCTCACTGATGACAGTCTGGCCCGAGGTGAGATAGCAGGTGAGTGCCATCACTGGCCTTTGACCCTGAGCCTCAGGTCCACCCCTGGTCCTAATCACCCCCCTTGTGTGGTGGCTGCCCTGGGGCCCAGGCGTGTCTGGATGGGGAACCTTATCAGTGCTGCGAGCAGGACTGCAGTGCCCCCCCAGGCCTGCCACCTCCTAGCAACTATCTGCCAGAGCAAGTGGGCAGGAAGGCCAGGAGGGCGCTGGAGGGCAGCGCTGCCCCAGCCCCTCCCGGCCTTCCCGCTTTCTGACCTCCGCCTGCATGTGCCTCTCTCTGGGCCACCCGTTTCCTGGCCTGCAATCTGCAGGCATCTGGCCTGGCCCCTTCTGCCGTGGGGCCATTCGGGGCCTCCCTAGGGCTCTCCTGGAGTCACTTCTCTGCAGGGTTACCCTCCTGTTAGATCCCGGATCCAGTTGTCTGGAGGCCCAGAGAGGGCAGTGACTTGGCCTAGGTCACTCAGTACCTGTGCTGGAACCAGGCCCCCCACACCTGCCCAGCATGGGGTAGCTAAGTTAGAAGTCATTTATCTCCCTTCCAAGTACTAACCAAGCCCGACCCTGCTTAGCTTCTGAGATCAGACGAGATCTGGCGCATTCAGGGTGGTATGGCCGTAGACTAGAGCTCTTTCGTAAAGGAACCTGGCTGGACCTCAGTTTCCCAGCTTTAAGGGCCCCAGCTCCTCATACAAGGGGCCGTCAGTCCCCGGAGCACATCATTCTGCAGAAATGTATTTATTCCAACCATCTTATATGCGGGGCCTAGGTAAGGTTTCCTCTGACCTCAAGCTTCCTTCCTCCCAGGTCAGGGTCTCTGGATTGCTTTGTCTCTCCCTCAAGCTGCAGGCCACAGAGCTCAACAGGCCCAATTGGAATCCTGGCCGCCATGGGCCCCTTCCTGAGAGGGGTGGGCTTCTTATTCTTAGCTGGGAACCAGGGCTTGTGAGGGGCTCCCCCCCTTGTGGGGGTCTTTGGAACTGAGACAGGGCAGGGCAGGCTGTGGTCTGGGCAGAGCCTGGCATGCATGTGCCCGTGGGGGCCTCTCCCATGAGCCCAGCACGGTGGGGGGAGTGACCCAGCTGGCCACTGGCCACTAGCAGGTGCAGGGCCATATTTGTGAAATTGATAATTATAAGGGGAGGGGATAGAAGCAGATGAACGTGGGGCTGGGTGGGGTCTCAGGTCCTCAAAAGATGAGGGTTTGGGTGCACAGAGCAGGGGGTGGGCGGCTTCCAGAGTTGTGGAAGTAGGCTGAGCTTGAGCAGGGGCAGGGGTCGTGGAGAGGGGGTCTCTCCCACAGCACCGGGCACTGAACTCGCCAGGCAAGGTGGGAAGGGAGAGAGGGAGCTCGAGGCAGGGAGAGGTGGTGGTGGCCCATTTCACAGAGGGGAACTGACGCCCAGAAAGGCCAAGGGCTGTGCCCAGGGTCACCCAGGCAGGGCCGAGCTGCCCTTTGATGGCCCAGGAGGCCGTGGGAAAGCAGGCACAGCTGCCCGGCCCAGAGCCCCGCCTGGTGACTCACCGCCTTCCCACTTCCCTGCCGCCTTTGAGGTCCCGGCCCACCCCGGAGGTCAGCCAGCTGTGAGGCTGTCCCCATCCTGCGGAGGAGCAAACTGAGACACCAGACACAGACTGGGCCCCACTGTGACTCAGCCTGGCATTGGAGACATGGCCCAGTCAGCCATCTGCCTGTGCCTGGCCTTCCCCAAGGGCCCTGGGCTGGGGTAGTGGTCAGGTTCTTCATGGTCAGGAAGAGACAAGGTCTCCCCCTGTGGAAACTGAGGCTGGATCACTCTCTGTGGCAAGGCCGTCCTGGGCACTGCAGGTCCAGCATTGTCCCTGGCCTCCATCCACACTCCGTGCCAGGAGCACCCCCCAGTTGTGACAACCACAAATGTCCCCATACATCACCCAGTGTCCCTGGGGGGCCAGAATCACCCAAAGTGAGACCCCCTGGGTTAGGGGATTCCATGGACCCCCAAGAGACTCTTCATCCCATAGTCATCAGCCCTACTGAGATCCTTGGAGGCTGCGCACATTTAAACCACACACTGAGTGGGGCGGGACAGAGGAGGTGAGTCCCAGAAGCTGGGGTCGCCTTGGTTTATACTGTCTGCCCCGTCGGGGGTTTATTTGGTGTCTGCTGTGAGCAGGAGTAAACCCAATTTGTTGCCCCTCCCCCTGGCACTGTGGACATATGGGTGGATCACTCTCTGTGTTGGGGGCCTTCTGGCAGGGGCGGGCCTGAGTGTCCTCTCCTCTCGTCTGCAGGGGCAGAACCCTTTCGAGCTGGCCTTCTCCCTAGACCAGGCGCACCACGGGAACCCCGACTTCAGCTCACAGTGCACGGCCCGCCCTGGTGAGGGCCCTGGGAGGGGCGATGTGGGCACCTCAGTCACCCCCACTGCAGTGGGTGAGGGCTGGGCAGGCAGCCCCTGTGGGGAGGTGGGGCCAGCCCGGCAGGGCTGCTGCTGAGCTGAGCGACCTCCCTCCTGGCGCAGACATGCCCGCCAGCCAGCCCATCGACATCCCCGATGCCAAGAAGCGGGGCAAGAAGAAGAAGCGGGGCCGCGCCACTGACAGCTTCTCAGGCAGATTCGAAGGTGAGCAGGGGCCGCGGCATGGGTGGCAGGGGCAGGGTGACGGCCGGGGTGCTGCTCACCCCCCACCCCCTCTGCTCCCCAGATGTCTACCAGCTGCAGGAGGACGTGCTCGGGGAAGGCGCCCATGCCCGCGTGCAGACCTGCATCAACCTCATCACCAACCAGGAATACGCCGTCAAGGTGAGGTCTGCCCCAGCTGCCCCTGGGGTCTGCCACCAGATGGTGGGGGTGGCGACAGCCTGGGAAACCCAGTGTCTAAAAATGGCCCTGGGGCCTTGTGACTCAGGCCACCCCTGGGAATCCAGGTCAGTCCTGATTTGAGCCCCTGAGTCCAGATAGGAGGGGACAATGAGGGGTGGCCCTCTGCCTATCCTAAGTCCAGGTGGCCAGGGACCTGGTGGCTGCCAAGAGCTGGGGGCAGAGTTGATGCTTGCCTGTGGGTCCTTCGTGCCAGTCCTCTGCCTGTGAGCTGTATCAGGATCAAAAGGCAGCATGGTACCCAGGGCCCAGAGGGGGCTCCGCATTTGGGGAAACCCAGTGCAGACCCCCGTAAGAGCCATGTGTCTACCCCTTCCTCCCAGGGCCTCTAAGCCCTGCATGTGACTGAGTGCTCTGAGGGCAGGGTCCCTGTCAAGACCCTGGCCGTGGCCTCGTGACTTTGCAGGGCCAGGCATTTGGATCCTGTGTTCCAAGAGACCTTCCAGGATCCTGGGCTGGGTGGGGTCACAGGAGGGCTGGCTGCCCAGGAGCAAGGGCCAGGTGCTCCTGGGAGCGGGGCTGGCGGGAAGCGTGTGGGCCTCGCAGGTGGCTGCTGCTGGCTCCTCCTCTGAAAGCCTTCGTCTCAGGTTGTCTGGGGAGGAGGAGGAGGGGAGGTGATCACCCAATTGATTGCATTGGGCGGTGTGAGGCTCATCTTTCAGGAGTGAAGGGAGACTAGTGGCCAGGTGCTGGGGCCACAGTGGTGTTAGGTGGTGACAAAGGCCACTGTGGTCCCTGCCCCTGGGCAATGAATGAGGTGGGAGAAATGGACACTTTGCACAGCATAAATCCTTCTGTGTCCTTTTCTACTAATAGCCTTGCTTCCTGTCATGGCTTGACAGATAGAGAAACTGAGGTTCAGACAGGGCTCGTGCACGTGGGTTTGAGGGAGGTTGTCTCATCCTGTGGATACAGTGACTTGGGGCCTCTGCCCTCAGGTGGTTTGAGTGCCTGTGGCTAGAGAGACCGCTTTGGGGTTGCCTGGCTGGGTGAAGACCCCCAGCACAGACCTCAGAGAAGGCCAGTCCACTGCCAGGAGGAACTGTCTGCTCCTTGGGAGATGCAGGCCCTAGCTGTCTTCCCAAGGGACAGGATGGGGTTTGGATTAATCCGGAACTGTCTAGAGTGCCCACTGGAGCTCTGCTTTTAGCTGTGGCTTGGTGGGTGGTGGTGATGACTCAAGAGACCCCAGAATCTGATCGTTCTCCCACCCCTTGCTGGGAGAGGTGTCTTTGTCACAGGACATGTGGGACAGTGCATAGGTGGCAACCAGGGTTTCAAGGGTGGAACATACCATACCCCCCACTGCCACCACCACCACCAGGCAGCTGTGTTGGGCACAGCCCTGGGCATGGGTGGTCACCCAGGCCACCCGGCCATCCACCTGCCCAGTGGGAAAGGAACCAGAGTGTCCAACCTGGGAATAGGATCCCAGCAGCGTCTGGAGAGAGCTGGCAGGCACCCTGCGACCCCATTTGTCTGCAAGTGAAGGCTGGGGGGCAACTGGAAGGGGTGGAACCCTCTGGTCCTTAGAGCTGTCGGGGACAGAGGCGCGGGCTGGTTTCCTGGGGCTCTGAGACACTGGGCCCATTGGTGGCCAGGGTGGACAATCAGGGCTGACCTGAAACAGACCCAGGCTCAGGGTGCCAAGGAGGCATCTCCCCAGGCCGGCATGGAGCCAGGGAGGCAGGGCTGGCAGCCAGGCGCCCTAAGGCCTCCCTAGCTCTGCAGGTCATGTGGCAGCTGGTCCTATAGGAACAAAGAATGTGGCTGGCCTGTCTCCTGGTCAGGGAGGGGTGGCCACTCAGTCTGAGGGACCCTGATGCCCTTGCAGTAGGGGTATTTCGCAGAGGCCCCAGATGTGCCCCTGAGGGGTCAGGGGTGGGAGCTACCCTGCTGGCTTTTTTTCTGTCTTTCCCATCCCGTGTCACCCTTCCCCTGCTGCGGTTTGCTGGGGGAACATGTTGCCCCCGCCTGTGCTGACTCCACAGTTCTGACTTCCAGCAAACTCCGGGGCCCCATAGGAGAGCTCTGCTTTCTAGAGCTTAAAGGTCTAAGCTCTAATGCTGGACTTGCAGGACTGGTGCAGGGGAATTTTCTGGCAGGGGCTCACCTGCCCCTCTCTGGCTATGGAGGATCCGGCTGACCCGGGTGGTGGTGTCCCTCCCGCCCATTTCAGATCATCGAGAAGCAGCCAGGCCACATTCGGAGCAGGGTTTTCCGGGAGGTGGAGATGCTGTATCAGTGCCAGGGACACAGGTGAGGTGACTTGCCCTCACCACAGGACTGGGCCCCGAGCCATCTTCAGTGGATGAATGGGCCTGAGCGCCCCATTACTCCATCAAGCAGTTACTGAGCACCCACTGTTTACCAGGCCCTGTTCTCGGCACTGTGGGTGGGCCCAGGAGGGAAGGTGAAGCAGGCCAGGGCCCTAGTCCCAGCCTCCCGTGGGCAGAGCGAGGGCAGGCCTCTCCTAGGCTGGGCAATGGGCGCACAGGGGCCTCAGGAAGCCTCAGCTCCTTTCCTGTCCCCCATCCCGACCCCAGGAACGTTCTAGAGCTGATTGAGTTCTTCGAAGAGGAGGACCGCTTCTACCTGGTGTTTGAGAAGATGCGGGGTGGTATGTCGGGGGTTCCTGGTTTAGGGGAGGGAGGGAGCTGGGAGACATTTCCAGCTAGGTCCTTAAGGGATGGTGGCTCAGGAAGGATCTTTCAGAGGGGCCTAGGCATGGGCAGGGGCTTGTGGGGTCCCAGCTTCCTGCCCATTTGGTGCTACAGGCTGAGGACTTTGGGCCCAGGAAGACAGAGTGGAGGTGGGCCCTGGACCTTGGCCCGGGGACCCCGGAGATGACCCCATGTGTTCTCTCTCTCTGCCATGGCCTCACCCCAGGCTCCATCCTGAGCCACATACACAGGAGGCGGCACTTTAACGAGCTGGAGGCCAGCGTGGTGGTGCAGGACGTGGCCAGCGCCCTGGACTTCCTGCACAACAAAGGTGGGCGGTGGGGCCAGCCGCTTGCCGACCAGCCCGCAGGGTCCCGGGGTTCAAGGTTCCGGGAGGACACCCCCACCCCTAACCCCGTTCGTGGTTCTGCTGGCTTCTCCCCCAGGCATTGCGCACAGGGACCTCAAGCCGGAAAACATCCTGTGTGAGCACCCCAACCAGGTGAGGAGGACCCCACCCAGTGCCGCCCCTATGGGCGGGCGCGCGGGCAGGGCCGGGACCCCCAGGGCTCACAGCCCCTCGAACCCCTCCAGATCTCCCCCGTGAAGATCTGCGACTTCGACCTGGGCAGCGGCATCAAACTCAACGGGGACTGCTCCCCCATCTCCACCCCGGAGCTGCTCACGCCGGTGAGGCCTGCGGCTCCGGGGCGCCGGGAGGCCGAGGGCTGCGGCTCCGCTCAAGTAACGTCGCGGTGCCCGGGCCTCAGAGCTCGAGCTTCCGCTTAGCAACAGCCGCTGGTTGGCGGGGCGGGGCCGCAGTTACACAGGGCGGGCTCCGGCTCTTGTCGCTGATTGGCCGGACGGGGCAGGGGGCGGGGAGCAGGGAGGTTTCCAGCACCTGCTGATTGGGCTGGGTGGGCTGCCTCTGATTGGCTGAGCAGGGCGGGCAGGGGCGGGGTCGCGGTCAGGGCGACGGGGGGAGGGGCAGGTTTGGGCGCCCTCGTGACGAGGCGGCCCC